CCCAGAAACCATCACAGCCACGACCGTGGGAACTTTCTGGGCGAGCAGCTCGCCCAGAATCTTCCCACGGGGGGGTGCCAATTATGGAAAGTCGGCAAAGAGCCGAAAACTGTATAGTTCCCGACTCCCATTTGTAGCGGCTTCACAGGAGGTTGAGAAGGTTACCCTTCTTCTCAACTCATTTCCTGTGAAGGCAAGTGTAACTACCTTCTCCCTAAATGCACAGCAACTCATTTCCTGTGAAGGCTGGGGCTAGCCCCCTCAGTGAGTTTGAAGACCTCGGACTGGGACTAGATACCCCAGCGACTCAGAGGATCCCCTTAGGCCCGTCACGGAACGAGGGCCGGGCCCTGACAAAAAGCAACCTCCCTTTTTGACTACAAAGAGACTGTAGCGCTGAGAGATCCAAGTAAGAGAAAGAAATTCTAAGCTTGACTCCTTGAGTATTATAAGGAATCCCTGACAATTGTCCAAGATGGACCAGGGGTATGTAATTCTTAACGGGTTTTTGTGATTATTTTTGTTTTGTTAGCACCTGGACCGAACCTAGGATGAGCTTAGGACATCCCAGACTCCCTCCCCACGAATTTGCTTGCATTTAGGGGGTTAGATCTCTAGCCTGCTTGCACCATCCCTGACACTACAGCTGTATGCGAGGGTGACATGGCACCTTGTGACCCAAGCTGCATGTATATAAACATACCTGAAGTGGGAACTGAAGAAGTAGCCTTCTTCTCACCCTTTCCACTTCAGTCTAAGTGGCCAGGGACTGCCTCCTGAGCCAGGCCTGCCAGTATGCATGCCCACTCCACACCCCACAAGGCTTCTAGTGTCAGGCGTCTCACCCAGGCCTCCTCTACCCCGGATGCATCCCTGACAGGGGGGGGAATTTTGGGGAAGATATAACTCTGGTAACTCTTGCTTATCTTCTTTCCATGGTTGATTTCCCTAAAGGTCACAATAGCCCTTTACCAATTGTGTGGCCACTCACAACACCCAAGTACACAGACTTCAAAAGTAGCAGGAGGGGGGGAAATATCTGTTTCGGTATCAATCGCTATGTACATATACTCATACTGCAAATATACAATAGTGGAAAGGACTCCGAAATATATGGTTCGGCTAAGCCAAGCCTTCACCAATAATGGCGATAAGGTTCAGTTACCATTGGCTTTGAATAAATTCCCAAACAACAAAAGAAGAATGAAATGTTAAACACCAACTTCCTAATACCACTCCCAATATCGCGTCAAAACTCCCTTTATTCCATTCGACTCTCCTCATCCATAGCTTTCTAACGATACCGATTTTGTGAAATTTGGTGGAGATTTGACTGAGAATGGGAAGTCTCAGACACGGAACACATATCTTGATTATCCGAGCACAGGGAAACTTGGACCAAATAATATACCATAATTCCAAGAAGCTCGCATGTGAGCATCCAAATAGCTCATATCATCTGTCATATCCATGCAACTCTGGACATCCGCTCCTGATTCTGGACCTCCATCTCCTCCTCCAGAACTCCACATCCTCCACCACCCCCTCCCCCTGTTGTTGTTGAGAGCCCACTCTACCTCTGGCTCCAACACAACATCCAACACTACCTCCAGTCTGACTCCAGTTTACTCCAGGTCCAATCCCAACCTTGTACCTTCCAGACCAGAGCTTGTGATGCTCCACCTCCGGCTCCGGACTCCTGTACTGGAACCCCATTGTACCTCCACCTCCGGAACTCCAGTCACATCTCCACCTCTGGACTTTGACCTCCTCCTCCATCTTATCTCCTTGTATTCCTTATTCATTTATTACGTCTAGCCAATATTCTGGATTTTGACTTCCGACTCCGGACCTCTGGAACTTACTCCGGACCCTGCAGTCTCTACTGTATGGTGCCATTTAATCCTCTTGTTGCTTCCTCCTTATTTAGACAGCTGCTTCCTTCCCACATTAGTCAGCTGTCATCCCCCACAACCCACTCCACTCCTTCCCCTCTTGGCCTTGCCCTTTTGGGAAGCACCATAGAGTTCCAACCCTTGACCCTTGGGGTTGTTCCCTCATCCAGTCCCCTTTGTTTCCTTCCAGTTCCCTTTGTTCCCTTTGGGTTCTCTGACTCCACTCCTGTATTATTATACATACACTCTGTACTTAGTTTCCTGTACCCCTAGTCTGAAATCGACAACAACTAGAGTCAACAACTAGAACCAGAATTGACTGGATTGTCCCCCCAAGAGACTCCCCCTGCTAACCTGAAATTAAGGACCACCTTAGACAACAAAGCAACAGCACAGCGCTCCACTTGAGTCGCTGAGGCCAAGGTCCCTCCTTCCTGAGTCCACCCTCCACTTCTGGACAATTACACGCTCTCTTATAACGGATGGATCTGGAGGGCCAGCATCCTGGCAATAACATTTCCACACTCCTCAGTGAGTTTGCAGATGCCTGAAGTGTGAGGTCTCAGGGGGTCGCTCAGCACACCAGACCATAAGTGATACAATGGTGTGTATATTTACGATGGTGTTAAGCGGTAACCGGAAGTTGCCACTTAGCCATGTGACTCTATGTACACCATTGTTACATCAGACTCGGGGTTTGGGCCTATTGCCCTGATGTGAAGGCACTAAAGAAGTTGTACATGGAGAAGCAGGGGATCCCAGAGTAGGAAGCTGAGCAAAGGCTCCCAGATGAGCCATAACATCCAGTGGTTAGCATAGCACAAATGAGATGTTCAACAACAAGGAGGGTGCAACTGTGATGCCCTCATGACATGCACATGATGTAGGTTAGAAACTCACCTACTCCTGTTAGAACTGGGCAAGGGTGGACGATTCCGGAGGGGAACCAGAGACTTAGCAAGGAGGGACCTTGGCCTCAGTGACTCATGCAGAGCGCTGTACCATTGCTGTTTGTCCATTTGGTCCTTAATTTCAGAGGCAGTGAGCAGGAAGTCTCTAGGGGGCATTTCAGGTCGATTTTAGACTGAAGGTCCAAAACGAGTATGTACAAGCACCTGTATATAATAGGGAGATGAAAGCACAAGGAAATCAAAGGGGGTCCAAAATGGAACAAAGGTGTATGAACGGGAACAAAGGGATGACAGAAGCAGAGTGGCACCAAAAGGTCATAGGTTAGAACCTGTGGTACATCTGAAAGGAGATAGGGAGGGTGAAGCCCAGAGGGGCAGGAAGATGAGGTGAAGTGGGGATGATGACTAACTGGCTAGAATGGAGAGAAGCAGCAGTCCAAATAAGGGTGAGGGGAAAGTGTGAAAGATACATTACAATTGGCGAAAGTACCGAGTATGATCTATGGAGCTCTGTCAGGGCACACCCACCTGACCCAGCTCCACCCGCCCTGACCTGGTATCCCGCTCACCTCTACTCCCCACCCTCCATCACGTTTCCTCAACTCTTGTTCTTCTTTCTATCCTTTTGTTCCTTTATTCTTTAGTTCTTTCTTCTATCTTTACCTACATGGACGACCTTTCCCCATACCCACGTATTATTGACCCGCCTGCGACGTGTGCACGACACACCCAGCCCCGGACGACCCAGACGGCCTCGCGGTGCAACCCAGCATGCGCGCGTGCAGCACATGCCCTCAGGATCCCCCATGGGGACACCCAGATGACTGTGGCTGTATGTGGGGTGACGTGGCAAACCTCATGTGACCCAAGCCGCATGTACATAAAAGTACCTGGGGTGGGAACCGAAGAAGTAACCTTCTTCTCACAGTTCCCACTTCAGGTAAGTAGCATAGCCTCCCCTTTTAATAACAACTCACAGTTCCCACTTCAGTCTGAGTGGCCAGGGACCATCGTCCCGGACTGGGCTCACCAGTACACACGCCCACTCCACACCCTGCGACGGCCTCAGTGCCGGGCATTACTCCTGGGCCGCCTCGACCCTGGACGCATCCCTGACAAGCTTGGAGGTTGCAGAGCTTACGGAGCTTACGGAGGCAGGGTTGAAAGTCCGAGGAATGTTGGCAATGGTGTTCACATAGTATGAGGTCACCAATGCAATGGACTTAAGCCAAGGTGGAGTCAAAGTCCGAGGTCAGAACTATGGTGGAATCTTGGAGCGAAGGTACGAGCAGTGTCTGGGTACAGGGTGTGGGACAGCGGCAGAAGGTCATAACTTGCCAGAGGTTTGGCGGGGGAGGGTCGGAAGGGTGGAGGGTGATGAGGGGGGTGGGGAGAGGAGTGGAGGAGGAATGGTGTCAGGTCCAAAGGTGAGTATCGGAACAGATGGAGGTAGGGTAGGGGAGTGACAGAAGGGTGGAGGTGTCGTGAGGAGTAAGAGGAGGAGGGTGGCGAGAGGGGTGATGTTCGGTCCGAAGGTGAGTATCGGAGCGGACAGAGATAGGGTAGGACTCTGGAGGTGACAAGGATGAGGGTCCGGGAGTCGGTTCGGGATTGGGTATGTACAGATATGACAACTCCCTCTGATGCACCACCCCCACTGATGTCCACCCCACATCCACCCATACCCTCTTCACAAAGGTTGTCTTGGAAGGAAACATGATCATGGGCACAACATCATTCCACATGGCTGAACATGAGATTTTGAGGAATCAAATTTTCATGTTCTACATATATTACATTTGGTTTATGTGCTATTTAAGTGCTTTCTAATGCATGCAAAATCATCAAGGTTGGTCATGTTTTGAGTAATGAAGCATAAGATAATGCACAAATTTTGAATTCTGGACTTTGCCTTGAATTATGAAAACAGCAATAAATTAACTCCATCTTTAGTTTTTTTTTTTTCAAGTGATTCTCACCCATATCTCAACAATGAACCACATTCAAAAAAAACATTTGCATACTATCTTCATTGTGTACAGAGGAAAACATCCCACCATTTTTGGGATAGCTAGCACAGCCACAGAACTGGGGCAATCACAACCTTCACTGCTGACCCTCACAACCCAGTAAGCATTCCACAGAGCATGCCAAAAGTAGAAATTTTCTGGTGTTGAGTCTCTGACTTTTGCACCTTGCCTCTCTTCATTTTTGACCACATTAATACATTTGTGTGCTTCTATCAATTTGAAATTTCGGCCTCTGCCTTGACCAGGCTACATGGTGCACATGCATAGAAGTTAGGTGAGCAACATCAAGAAGAAGACCCAACAGTGACCACAGTATCCAATAAGAGCATATCAATCATAATTAAAATGTAGAACCAGTTCTTCAATGGTTGGACGTTCACTGGGGTTCTGTTTAAGGCACCTATTGATATTGGTGAGAAAGTCATCAGGATTGTTCCACTCAAATGGAGCATGTCCAGCCATTATTGCACGTAGGATTGCTGGGTAAGTCTCCAGTTCATGATATGGTTTCAGATCAAAAAGTATCTGAAAGCAAGAGGAGGTTTGCACAGAAATCAGTCAAGGTTTGTTGCATACTAATGCTACATCATCACACCTGTCCAGATGTACAGCCAAGAGCCCAAACATCACTTTTGCCATCACGATACTGCACCTCACCATTCAGCACCTCCGGAGCAGTATATCTTGCAGTGCCAGCAGTGCTTGATCCATCCGCATATGTGGAGAGATCAAGAAGAATACAGGACAGCCCAAAGTCACAGAGCATGGCGATTCCTTTTCCATTGACAACAATGTTTTCCTGGGAAAATTCCCCAATGAACCTTATTTATGGCTTCAAGAGATGGGGAGATTAGGCTCATACCGGCTTAACATCACCATGAATCACATTCTTGGCATGAAGATATTGGAGGCCCTGGGCCGCATCAAGAACCTGTCAAGGAGAAATAAGATAATCACTCAGGTTTAGCGGGATGATCACAACTCCCCAATCGACGACGGTCAGCATTTGGAGTATGCTTCAGGTACTCTGTTACATTTCCTCCCTCACACCAGGTGGAAACAAGTTTGGCACATGTTTCGTCAGTTTCCGTAGAGCATTCAACTGCCCATCCGTGAAACGTGACAACATTTGAGTGTTGTAACGCCGTCCAAACTTTGACTTCACGCATCATCCTCTGGAGCAGTAAGTAAACACGGTAAGCTAATTTTGCGTTGAAACGGAAGGACAAACTCGACAGAATTTTGTGATGACCCCCTCGCTCGCAGAAGTCCGAATTTCCTTCAGGACCTTAACACACACAGTTTCCTGGCAACACAATGCCTAGTCAATTTATCGGCTAAGGAAAATCGCAAGTAATCTTCTTGCCCCTTCGTAAACTCCTTGATAAATTTTCCCAAAGCTACCATGGCCTTTTAAAACCTTATGTTGGTTTATTCTCCCAGTGAGATTGCGACCGTCAACTTTTGAAAGCTCCAAAAGAAGTTCCAGAAACCAGGGAGGGTGTTGTGATATTGGGGAAGTTTCCTGTGTTGCCGATGTGCCGGGACAAAAGTGAGGAACAGATTCGACGCCTTGGGAATAGTGAGGGGTATCGAGACCTGCCCCTTGGTAGCTTTTCGCCATGATCTTCCGCTATGTCAAAAACCTCCCGATTAATCGTACTACATGTGGCTCACCGTGTTCGGTGTTACATAGGTCACCATTCGCAATATTCTGCTTCGAATCAGAGGCGCCGTGTTACGAGTAATTGGACCGCCGAATGCGTAGTGTCCGTCTCCTGAGATCCCGAGATACTCCTGTACGATTGAACAGAACACCCAAGAGGTCTCCTAGGGTAACCGAAGTCATGAACATGTTCCATTGGGGTTATGGCCAGGGAATCGTACCGGCCAAGTTTTATACTCTAGCATTTCTTCGGCTATAACACGAAAGAAGATACAAAAATCACCAAGAAAGGGTAGTCTTTTAAATGTTTGGTCATTCTCCCGGCGCGCTCTTTTAATGAGCGCTTCCTTCGCCGCTGAGAACTGAACCTCTGGGGGGATCAGCAGAAAATTCGGCAACAGATCGATCGACGACAACCACTCACGATATCGCCGATATGCGTTTTGCCACGTTTCATAATGAGCCGGAACAAACTCAATCCAGCAGTTCGATCAATCCGCATCCATATATCCTTTTTCTCCGGACGCCTTAATTGAAAGAGAAGGAAACGATGTAGGATCAAGTTCCGATAGAAACAATAGCAGGATGTGCTGACGATCCTTGCTATTTGAAGCCAAACGTGTTTCTCGATGACTTCTTCGCAGAGATCCCTTAGGGGATATGTGCACCCGGCTCTCCGAAACGGTATAAGTGATCCACCAGAAAAAGTCGAAAACCCAGAGATGGTGGAGTAAGTAGCAGATGTCTGCGCGAGACTATGGGATTTGGTGCTGTCGTTGTCAATGGGCTCAATAGATGAATGAAGAACATTGAAGCCGAGTTGCGTCTCAAAAAAACTCTCCTGGAGGCATGGTTCAGTTCAAGTGGAATGTCCGGTCACTAAATAGTGCTTACCGGGTCCTCGTCCTCGATCTCATCCCCATGGAGAAGAATCGTGCCCGGCGGATACGCCACATTAGACGCGAATGTATCGCGGTTCACTGGATGAGGAACTGAGTTGAGACCCATCCCTTCAGTACGCAGAGGGGCCATGGGGTGATAGCAGATGGATGGAGTGGGACTCGAGTTGAGATTGGAGGCTTCGAAGATGAACAGTTGGCCGTTGCACTGGTCTGGTGGTAACCTCGAGGCACCTGATTACGTATCGCAGCGCAAACTCGTACCAAGTGGTGGACGCATGCACGATGTTACTTCATTACCACAACCTTCCTATTTTGGAACAAGGCGCCAGTAACGTCAGAGCGAAGACAATGATGTGCACCAGCCTCTGAACTGCATCTCCCTGACTCGATATCCATGCAGCTGATGTATTGAAAACCGCAGCCCCTGACCTGCTCGTTAGATGTGTTGGAAGACGAAGGCATCGCGCAATTGGCGGGGGTGTTGGTAATGCACCCCACACGACCAAGAACCTGTCACGCGTCACACCGGCCTTGCGGCCCGGCCCCTTGTCACGCGTCACACAGGCTTTGAAGCAGGAAGAGCATGCGAAGGTGTTTCACTGACTCTGACTGGGTGGGTGATGCTCGCGACAATAGGTACATTTGTATCCTCCCTCGGTACTTGATAACGCGATGGACAGCTGTTTCTTCGAGCCCCATGACACAGCACTGCCAGCCATGATAAAGAAATGCTAAACCTAAACCGAACCCCCAGAGTGTGTTGCAAGGTCACTTCTGGCTCACAATTCGTGGGGACCCTGCCACCATGGGAACTTTTTTTTTCCCACCAGGTATCCTAGTCACTAATCAATTCCTGCTACTCCATAGTGGGTCCTGCAAATTTTAGTGCACAGGGTCCTCTGTAACTGTTGGAGGAACCGTGTGCTATGGGAGGCCGGACGAGTTTTCGTACAGCCACATTCCCACATCCGAGCGAGGAACTCGCCTGGACAGCCACATTCCCGCGGTAGCGTGACTACTTGGTCACAACACCTTTTCTTCTTACTTATTTTGGTCACTTCGGACTTATCCGTGAAGGCCACAAACTGTATTCAATCTTTTGAATTAGTTTCCTTCTTCCTCAGTTCTCGTGCATATAATGAGACTGAGGTTAGTTATCTTCCTTTTATTTCTTATATCTTATACTCATTGTATATTACCTTATAGCTACTATCTACTAGAGCAAGCGGTTATTCCGTTAGTAACCTAGGTCCTTTTTTCCCATTCTGACCATATGACAATAGGATTTCAGCTCACTCCACTACAATGCAACTCATGCCATAAGACCATCCACCTGACCCTGCATCACTGAAAGGTTTCTTACTTGTTTTGGGGATGGTACATTCCATTCCCCCATTCGCCTCAGGCCTCAGTTAGTCCATCTAGGTATACGCTTTGATGGGCTGTATATTAATGGGGTAGAAGTAAAGGCTGATCCGCCTTTTACAGCTACCCCGAGGGTTTATATACATTCTAATGCATTCTTGGCACAAATAAATAGAGAAGCTTCCGCAACACTAAATTAGCATTGTGACATAATTATCAGACAACACAACATCAATTGATGTTGTGGGCAGAATATAGACATGGGCTGGGGCCTCACAATCACCATATCCGACTTCTTCCTCTGACTTCAATGAATCTCTGTGCATCCCTTCTGATCCACTCTCTAAACCGTATCAACCACGTCCAACTCTCCATCATCACATTCCAAATATTCTCAATCATGTCCAATTACTGTACTGGCATGACCAACAACCGGCTGGGTTGGGAGTGTGACAAAAATTTTGTTCGGACATTCTGACTGGCATGGCTGTGTGATGCGTGACAGCCAACTGGCAACTTGGGAACAGTGTGACACAGCCCAGCCCTTGGGGTGTTTAATGTCCGTAAAATTTGAAAATATAATGAAATAAATGCAGAAAATTTTCGCCTTTCAAGTCCTACTACTCATTATGGATGGCTTCGCTCTTGCCAGTCAAATTGCTTTGTGTGCTGAGGATACCATCGCATACAAGAATATCCCCACATTTCTTATTGGACCCTACTTCCCCCATGAAGCCCTGTCAGTGAGGGAATTCGCATCATTCAAACTTCCTGGCCTTCAAACTCAAATAGGAAACCTGAACATACACCTCAGCAGTAAACAGCCATCGATGGATATACTATCAGAGCAGGATGTTCGCTTGGTGAATTATCCTAGCCAATGTGATATGAAGAAACTTATTGCAGAGTTGGATGCAGTGGACGAGAACCTTCCTACCTCAGTTGAAATTGGTTCCCATTGTGTCCCAATAACCATTCTTGAAATCTGGAGAGTCCACCTCCACCTATGGGATCTTCAGAATTTGTGGAAGGAATCATTTAGATGGGCAGAGAGTCTGGCAACACAATGCCCCAGCCAGCGGACAGCAATACAGGTGGCATTACAGAGACTCACCTTGTGCCGATGGAATGAGGAAATCCAGGGGTTTTCAGGTTTTGGAAGGAGTGGTATTGGCATTCTAATGCGATATCTATCCAATTCTTGCCTGACAACGACTGATGTCATTCACCATGTTGAGATCCTACAAAGCGATGTGGATGTGGTGAACCTGATGACCAGAGTTATATCCCCACTCGATATTCACCACCTTACTGGATGTGTCTCCCAGTGCAACACAAGTCTAGCCAATTACAAACAACTTCTGGTATATCAGGGACTCCGTCATCTTGGAAGTGAGCTGGTGTCTGGAGACGTGACTCACTTTGGGGGGATTCTCCACATCAACAGAAATCATTGGGTACCCTTCATAATCAGTCTAGGGGACTCGACTGTCCTTCTTGGTGACTCCCTTTGTAAAGCAGGCAACTCCACAACAAGGGCAATGACAGAAGCAATGGAGATCATACAGTGGTGGCTGAATGTGTCCTACTATTTGGGATCAAATAAGCCCACAATAAAATTCAAGGTTGCTTTGCTCCCAACGGCATACCAGGAAGATGCCACATCTTGCGGCTTTTTTGCATTGAATGCATTGGCGTGCCATCTTCTCCCAACCAGATATTCACTTCACAGTGATTCAACTCACCTGAGTCCAGTTTCTCAATAGTATTCTCGATCATCACACAGAGAATGTGAGTAAATCAACATGCCAAATGGAATGAATCAACTTACAGATTTGTACCCTAGCAAGTCCTGCACTTTATGCTGCCATCTGAGGAACCACGCTCAGGACCTCCAACTTTCAGCCATAAGTTAATCAAGGAAGAGCGCCAGCAGATTACCACCCAACCAGCAAGCAGAAAGGACAGACTGCTGCAGCACTTCTGCCGAGTGACTCCAGAAGAATATCGCAGACAAACCTTGGCTGCATTTGAAAGGATTGAGGAAAGATCCCAAGAATTTAAAATGGCCATGCAAGCCAGAACTGAGAGGCAGCAGGAACGGTGTTGAGAGTTGGCCATAATACAACAACAGCAAAAATAATGGCAAGCAAAACAAAGGTGTGTATGGAGATGACTTACATGCAGCCTGAAAGATGTAAAATGTCATAAATGGACAGGTGCTTCCACCCATATTTGGATCTCCAACAACAGTGCATGTCGCAGAGATGTCCAGACCGAAGAGGACAATTCAGCGCTGGCTAAAGGAATACAAGCAACGAAAAGCCACTCACAGTGTCCCCATGATCATGCAATGTTCTAGACAGATAGCATGTAAATTGGCATCTGCAACAAATTGGTTTCAACCAATTTTCTGGTCGATAATCTGTGAAGTAGCGGAAATGATGGGCAAGGAGATGAGCCCAACAAAAATAGTTAGAGGTTGCCAGAGATGGTCTTGGAAGCTATTCCATCTGCTAAGAGCTGATGTAGTTGGGAAGTGGATCAATCGGAGTGGATTGCGACCATGTTGGTCGACGAAAGTGCTTGCAAAAGTCGAGAAAGGAAATTGCCCTGGTGGAATGATCACACAAAAAGGAGTGCTGGTAAGCCAACAATTATGAACCATCATTAATATGATCTCACATGATAAGGTAGGCATCTTACCCAGAAATGATCAAGGAGATCAAGGATGTGTTATTGAGCATCTGACTGTCAGAGTACACCCACTTCCGGCCACTTCCAGCCTACTTACCATCATGATCTGATTCCATGATCTATGATCGCCCAGATTCCATGATCCATGATCCCTGTACAGCCTTATGATCTGATCCCACTCCAAGATCCACGTTCCATGATCCATGATCCAACACAGCCAGACAAACCTGGATCATTGATTGTTGGTATGTACAGTGCCTCGTAGATTAGCTGTGTGTGTGGGCTACAGTATATTACACCCTGAGTAGCGAGTAGGAAGACCAGCTTTCTTCTCTCATTTCCCCTTGCTGCTCAGGTATGTTGTACATAGTAACATAGTGGCTGGAATACAACTCATTTCCCCTCGCTGCTCAGCTGGAGCCTGTGTCGCCTAGCACACCTTGCGGTTCTCCTATTGAGACCGACCCAGACCTTCCTAGTCTTACCTCCACCTCCACTGGATCTCTTGACCTTAGCTCCGAGCAGCTCGGTATCCTGACACTGACAGGCAAGCGCTGCACTGGACATCCACCAGATCCATGGCATGATTATTGCACATATCCAGCACACTGTCAGAGTCCGCGCGTCAGTTCGCATGTAAGAATCTCCCCGGGAAACTAGTCGTTGTAAAAGCTGAGGGGCCAACCCAGCTGGCGATAAGGCCTTATATACATGAGTTCCGCAACTCATAAGAGCGCGGCTACATTGGGAACACATGGTAGCCGATAGAGAAGCGACATGAAATAGGAGAATAGATCATGCGGATAAGGGGGCGATAACGGGTGAGGGATGACGCGATAGCGGAAATAGCGCATTGAATACAGCCTGCGTTCTAACTACGGCAAATCACACGCAGATATCGGCTTACGGGTACTCAACCTATCCGGATAGGGGTCAGGGCCGGCCGGATAACCGTCCGTGCCCTGACACACACTCAGCCTGAAATATTCAGGACCATCGTCAGCAGTGATGGGAGCATGTTTGCTGCAAGCATGAAGTGGGTTCAGAAGTTCCTTGCAGAGGGAATGAACTGGACATTACAATGGGCAACACGTTGTAGAAGAAATAATATTCAAAGAATAAAACAATGATCTATCAGAATAGTCAACAATCAGGTGACAAGTTCAGATGTTTAACAGATCTCATGATCTTTATGAGACTGGACAGACATTAGAAGATCATTATAAATTATCTACACCCATGTAGCATGAGATTTAATCTACTACAAGCATGCCTAGAACCTGGCATAGGTGTAATATTCAAAGAATATATCCCTACAACAAGAAAATAGCACATAGACGGCAGAATAAGAAGGAACATTGGGAAAGAAATGTGAATATCTCGGGAACCAGTAAACTTTTGGCTGTAATCTTTTTACCATCTGAAAGGACTGTTTCTAAAATTTATCCACG